AAACACATGTACACACACATGTAAATACCCACAAACGTATACACACACAGACACATGTACATTCACACACACAGATACATGTACATACACACACACACACACACAGATACACACACACAGATACTCGCAAACACAGATACACATATACATACACACACACAGATACACACACAGACACATGTACATACACACTCACAGATACACACACACACCTCACATGTACACACAGACACATATACATACACACCCACAGATACACACACACTGATACACACGCGCACACAGATACTCGCACACATACACACATGTACACAGCCCTATAAAAAGTTGCAGTACAGTACTTCGTTACCTTCACTCACAGAGCCGGGTACTGCACTCTAGGGGGAGGAAGAGAGAGCACAGCACACACTCCTTCCTTTGCTTTCACTTTGCCCAACTATTGAGCAGCCTGACAACTCCCAGTGCGAGTGACAGATCCGGCCCTAAGTTCTGAGCCTGCTCAGCAAGATGGCCCTGGGGGAAGGTTCCCTCCGCCCTCCTCCTACTTATCCTGCCTAATCTATATGAAAAAGATCTGTGTACTTACCTATTTTCAATCTGTTCTGGTCCAGTCGTGTGATCTTGCAGCTCTGTGTAAGGGGGCACTTGACAACAGCTGTGAATGATGGGAGCCCAGGTGTTACTCATAGACTCCTAAGGTCCAACTGTTATCAGTGCTCCCTCCTCTCCCCTGCAGCAGCCATTCACTGACACAGGGGAGCTGGAGCTGTGGGATCACATGACTATACTGGCATGGATTAAAACTTAGGTAAGTACACACATCTTTTTTACACAGGTTAGGAAAGATAGGTAGGAGGTGGGGACTTTTTTAGGAATCAATATAGTTAGGGTTTTCTTCCATTTTACAGGGTTAGTTCACCTTTACCAAAAAACTGCCCATGTAGATAAGGAACATCTTTAGATAAAATAAAGCTGTGCAGCTTTGACCAAAATTGAATGATGCCCTTGCTATAGGTGAAGTCCATTTAGATACCTCATTAGCCTAACCTGAAAACTCCCCTTCCACGTTGCTAGGACATTGCTAAGCAAGACCCAGCTATTACTGTTCACCTTCACCATCAAAAGAGTGAGCTCTTTCTCTCCATCAAACCCCCTATCATGTGTTTTCTCTCCCCTGATGCAGTAGCTCTGAGCTCAGAGTTTGAGAACTCATTCCTGTGATGGTGAAGGTGACCAGTAATAGCTGGACCTTACTTAGCAACATCCTAGCAACATCTTGGAAGTTTTTAGCTCAGGCTTCAAGAGGTATGGAAATGGCCTTCACCTATATCAAGGGCATTATTTAACTTTAGTCAAAGCTCTACAGTCTGCTTTTATCAACAGATACCCTTTATCTTCATAGGCAGTTTTTTTTTGGTAAGGGTGAACTAACCCTTTAAGGATTGCGATGCTGTAATATAATTCTTGTTTTGAGGTTTAATAAACTTTAAACTTCAAATCTGACAGCTACATAGTGTTGTAAAAAATCTTTGACTGCCTAATGCATTGTGTTACAAAGGTGAACTTAGCCTTTAAGACATATCTGTAAAGGTCTGACAGTTTTTCCAGGGGGTGGACTATACATCAAACATTCCTTCTGTACAAATTTATAAAGTTTACAGCTCTGTGTGAAAATGACGAGGCCCCATCCGCAAATTAAATTCCACAAAGCAAGTCAGCAGTCTCAGCAGAATATTTAAGTATTGCTAACAGGATTCTGTGTTTATCAAGCGACTTTATTATTTATTTTGTGTGGAGAAAATATTTTCTTTGGCACAAGCAATTAACTCCCTATTATCTGCTCTTATGCTGCTAATTCTCGTGACGATTGAAGCGGATGCCACCACAAATGACAAGCTGTACAGACTGTTTTATTTGGAACAGGTTTCATTGAAACACTATCTGTACGAGGGCATGTGGACTGATAATCAGCTTGGTGCTTCTTCAATCAAGGCCAGTGTGTATACTGCTATAGAAAATGTATTGTTTTCATTTTGATTGGTAAATTTTATTATCTATTTTTTAATTGTTTTTATTCATAAAAAAAAAAAAAACACAGCTTTTAAGTCACAAATCACAAAATGTCAAATCAATCTGTTTCTGACTCTTCAAGTGCATACATACAGTATGTCTTGATTGACTGTCGAGTGCTTAGTGCACAATAAAAATGAATGCTTTTATGGACCGTTTGACCATGATTTCCCTTGAAGAGGTTTTCCTTTTATTCACCCTTGTCTAGCAATAGAGCCTCTGAAGCAATCTTCAGAAGTGAAAGGTAACCAAGGTATTAGGAAGTAGAAGCGTCTGAAAGAGTTATAATGTGTGCAAGGAGAATATTTCAGTTATTACTGTTCTTCAAGCAAGACTAAACCCACAGTCTCTGAATAATAATATGCAATTGTTTAATGCAGCATAGACCTGGAAACAATATACAGAGGTCTACTTAAAAAATAGCTGTACAAATGTGACAAACACTTGCATAGCCACAATTAAAAAATCCGATATTTTATCTAATGTGATTATATCTTTTATGCATCAGCACCATCTAATGGCCATAATGTATTACATTTCCTGGTTGAGGCATTTCAGTAAAAATACCATGTTATGGTCACTAGATGGCACATGTGATCATATTAGCCAAAAGACAGTTATTTTTTGCTGTGGATCCAATCCATGAAGGTAGATTCAGTCAATTATTGAGCCTTTACTATCACTATAAACCACTTTCCTGCCATCCTATAGCAGAAGTACTGCTATTGGCTGCTGGACATGTCACTCACCGGATCCCAGCCAGCGATTCTCGGCTGGAACTTGGTGATCATCAGCAGAGCTGACAGGGGAGAGACCTGTGTGTAAACAACACAGGTGTCTCTCCTATCAGCAAGGACGTTCTGCTTTGTATTTCTCTGTACAGCAGAGAAATACAAAGCAGCATGACTCCGTAACAAAACACAACACAGCACACAATGTAAAATACAACCCTTTGATCGCCCCAGATGTTAACCCTTTCCTGCCCAGTGTTGTTAGTACAGTGTCAGAGCTTTTTATTAGCACTGATCACTGTATTAGTGTCACTAGGGATGTCAGTGGCAGTTATTCAGTTCCCCCCCAGTGTCAGAATGCCCGCCGCAGTCCTGCTATAAGTCGCTCATCGCGCCATTACTAGTAGTAAAAAAAAATTTAAATTCTAGTATATATACCGCCATTTGTAGGTACTATAACTTTCAGGTAAACCAATTATTATGCACTTATTGGGATTTGTTTTCGCAAAGACATGTAGCAGAATACATTTAACCTAAATTTATGAAGAAATTAAATTTTTTTATTTTTTTTACTGGATATGTTTTCTAGCAAAAAGTGAAAATATAGTTTTTTTTCCCCAAAATTGTCATTTTTTGTTTATAGCGCAGAAAATAAAAAATGCAGAGGTGGTCAAACACCACCACAAAAGAAAGCTCTTTTTATGGAAAAAAAGGACATACATTTCATTTGGATGCAGTGCTGCATGACCGCTCAATTCTCAGTTAAAGTAATGCAGCGCCGTATCGCAAAACATGGCCTGGTCAGTAAGGGGGCAAATCCTCTGAAGGATAAGTGGTTAATGACTCCTAGTCATGTCATTGGAAATCCTCCATTACATTGACTGTGGACATAAAGATGACAAGTGGATGTAATAGCTATAAAACAAATACGGTTTGCCATTTTAGTTACTCTATTGCCCCTTTCTTAAGTATTGATTTTGGGTGGAATTCACTTTTAGGTTATGGAAAGCACCATCACTGGTGTTTTGGAAAATATTACCAAATGTACCATGTCATGTCGTCTTGATGAGTTTGATAAAACAAACAGACTGGCACCACTATTTAATTTATGTTTGTCCATTTCATATGGATGTTCTCCAGTTTCCTTTTTCAGCAAGCCATGAGCATCATAGGCTACGGGTAAATAGGATTGTGGATAAAGTATTTATGTTCTTATGACTAGGCATTGTGTAATAAATCATATGGCATACATCCACACTTACTGTGAGTTGTATTTGTTTACTACAGGAGATAGGCCATTATGACTTTTTGGCGTATACCCCACAATTTTATATTATGCTTATAAATATCAAGTGTCTCATTTTTCAATTGCTCGTGCAGAGTGAAAGGGTCAAATCCATTTGTTGCAGTGTGGAAAATGCAACAGCTGGCCAAAAGCACTATTTGATTGATGATGGAAATTAACTGCAATTGAACAAGAAATTGTAATAGGCTTTTGCACAAGAAAAATAACTTGATATAAAATTATGTTTGATACTTTTGGTGCATTTTATTTTATTGGCTTAAACACATTCTTGGCCAGAGAGTGTTACGAATGGCTACTTGATTTTGTTTTCAAACTCTTACCACTGTATCCACTAGCCTACAGGGCACTTAAACCCCCTTCCTGCCGAGGCCAATTTCCAGCTTTCAGCGCTGTCGCACTTTGTATGACAATTGCGCAGTCATGCAACACTGTACCCATATGACATTTTTATTATTATTATTATTTTTTGGTGACATATAGAGATTTATTTTGGTGGTATTTAATCACCTCTTGGTATTTAATTTTTTCTTAAACCAAAAACCACTGACACTTTTGAAAAAAAAAAAGTATTTTCTTAGTTTTTGTTATAAAATGTTGTAATTAAGTGATTTTTCTACTTCACCGATGTGCGCTAATGAGGCTGTAGTGATGGGCACTGATAGGCTGCACTGATGGACACTGATAGGTGGCACTGATGGGCACTGATGAGGAGGCACTGGCAGGTGGCACTGATGGGCATTGATAGGCATCACTGATGGGCACTGAAAGGCAGCACTCATATATACCACTGATAGACGGTACTGATAGGCGGTACTGACTGGCACTGATAGGCGGCACTGACTGGCACTGTTAGGCGGCACTGACTGGCACTGATAGGCGGCACTGATAGGCGGCACTGACGGGCACTGATAGGTGCCACTGATGCACACTGATAGGCGGCACTGACTGGCACTGATAGGCGGCACTGACTGGCACTGATAGGTGGCACTGATTGGCAGCACTGATAGGTGGCACTGACTGACATTGATAGGTGGCACTGAATGGCACTGATGTGTGACACTAAAAGGCAGCTCAGATGGGCACTGATATGTGGCATTGATGTGGCACTGATGGGCACTGATAACTGGCATTGATATGGCACTGATGGGCACTGAAATGTGGCAGTGATTTGGCACTGATGGACACTGGCAGGTGGCATGGATGAGCACTGAAAGCTGGCACTGATGGACACTGACAGGTGACACTGCTGGGGCTACAGAGATCATCAGGGCACATTGATCATCAGTGCTCTGATGATCAGTGTACATGTCCCCTCCGAGGAATGCCGATTACTGGCTCTCCTCTCGAGCTGTCAGCGTGACAGCTCGTGAGGAGAGAAATGCCGATAACTGGCATTTCCCTGTTTACATGTGATCAGCTGTGATTGGACAAAGCTGATCACATGACTGAGCTGACATCTTCGGCTCTTTCTGTTGAGCGGTGATCCGCTGTGTCCGAGGGACACAGCACACCGCCGATCGCCGCGCTGCGCGCTCCCGGAGCCACGCATGTGCAGTTAGAATGGGAGGACGTCACATGATGTCCTTCAGAACAAGAGAACCGCCTTGCGTCCATCAGTGTACTATATGGCGGGCGGGAGACGGTTATTTGAGTTTCCTTCAAATTAGGACAGCTAAAGTATATGTGAACCCTTGCCTTGTAAAACAACACATTAAGGTAAATAGGAATTATTAAGTAAAATAGAAATGAAAGGCAAAACATTTGTGTATACATATTCAAAGATTATAAAAACTCCCCCCTTGTTTTGTAAGTGATCACATTCTCTTTGTTCTCAGCTGTATAAGGAGCTCAGAGAGCTAGGGGAAGAGAAACAGCAAACAGTGGTCATCCTAGTGAATGGCTGTGCATGAGCAGGGGGGGGGGGGGATTGGGTCAGCACTAGTCTAATCATTGGAGAAGAGCAATTTGAGTTCCCAGCAGAGTCAAAAGACTGACCACTCTGTGCTCTCACGCTTAGTGGGATCAGTTTTTAATAGGAAAACAGAGGGACTGGCAGGAACACCACTGACTGCACACAAAAGGAAGCAATACAAAGAAAAGGGGACACTTTTGCATTCAAGTACATGGTACAGCAGGCACATATAAGGAATATGAAATGTAAGGGTAACGTTTTCTTAAAGTGTTTTATACAACCAAATATATTAAAGACTAAGTTCGCCTTTGGAACATGTTACATGTTCCACCTCTATTTAGGGTGGAACATGTAACATGTTCCTTCTCCTGCCCCTCTTCCACAGATCAACACCTCCCTGTTACAGCTGGTGGGAGTTCTCTGCCTACACAGCCTTGTCATTTAGCCCCCGGTCACATCGGGTGCAATTTGGCATGAGATTTGCATGCCGGGCGACTTGCAAATCACATGCATTCTATTGTCCGCTATCAGAGCAGTCATATCAGTGTGGTTCCGACTTGGTCGGAGCCGCACCAATTTCAAAAGTAGTACATGCACTACTTTTCTTGCGATTTGCATAGTCATCTGTGTTGGATGTCTTGCAAATCGCAAGGAAATTGGCAGGTCACCCGATTTTTAAATCGTGTGACTTCACTGTAAGTTGCACAATTTCAAAATCGGGTTTGATGTGACCGGGGTGTTATTCACAGATTGCTGTAAATAAATAAACTGCAAATACCGTCTGCCACAGCGACAGCTGGAGTTGCAGTTTCAGTGGGCTGCGTGGGCGCTGATGAGCACTCTCATAGTCCACTGACATGTCCTATAGTTTCAAACAGAAAGTCCATACAGAGGTACAGGCAAGAAAACTGGAAGACGTGTCTGCAGGAGCCCACATCGCACCCATGATCTGCTGATAGTGGGTGCAATGCTTTCTATGCTTCTGCAGGAAATAAATAATAAAATCACATTTTTTTCTGCAAAAATATGTGCATTTTATTATTTTTTCTGTAAAATTTAACTTACCTTTTAAAGGGCATGCTCCAGTCAAACACAAATCATTAATCAAAATTTTCACCTAGGCAGGGCTTGAGTGCCCCAGACCACCTTTCCATATACATAATACGCCACTCTTTACAGAGCCTATTAATAATGCTGTAAATTATTTCTGTAGAAGCAGCAAAATCAAAGTTATATGATTTTGAGTTTTCTGTATAAAGTGTATTTATTTTAAAGTGATTCTAAAGGCTTATTTTGTTTAAGAAAAAATAACAAACATGACTATACTTATCTGCTGTGAGCTGTGGTTTTGCACAGAGCAGCCAGGATCCTCCTCCACCATCGCTCCCTGGCCCCTCCCTCCTGTCAAGTGCCCCCACAGCAAGCAGCTTGCTATGGGGCACCCGCTACTCTATGTGTCCATTCACACACAGAGCCATGGCTTGGCCCTGCCCCCTCTCTCTTCTCATTGACTTACTGGCTGTGATTGACAGCAGTGTGAGCCAATAGTTCCTGCTTCTGTCTCAGCTAATGAGAAGAGAGAGTCGTGGAATAGCTGAGACCCCAGTGGAAATCGCTGGATCGAGAGGGGGCTTAGGTGAGCCTTAGGGGGGCTGGGGGAGATGCTGCACAGACGTTTTTTTACCTTCATGCATAGAAATCACAAAGGTAAAAAACCTTGAGCCTTTACAACCATTTTAAGCATAGTTTTGTTAACTGTTGCTCATTGCAAAGAACTAAAGGCGCAGGGAAACCATAAACTACTTATGACTTATTTAGCAAGAAATCCAAATCGTTGTACAAAAATAGTTGCAGAGTCTTTATCAGGAACATGATACAGTGAACATGATATGTGGGAAAGCCTGCCTTACTGTTCCAACAGTATTGTTTAGTTGCAGTTAAAATGATTCCACTAAGAACCACTAAGCTGAAAGCCACAGATCTTTTGCTTAACATGTATAAAATAGTGGTTACTGTGAACAAGTTTTTCATTTATATATATAGTAGGCAAATCCGGTTGCATACATAGATTCTCCGTGTCCAGAAGGTACATACTGCACACTTTTGAAGTAGAAGATTGTCAGGTCTTATAATTAGCACATAAACCATCCCAAACCCTTTTTAGAATATACATAGGTAAAAAGTGTCTTACAATACTTATACATGTCAGTACCATGATTTTAGCACTTTGATGGCTGTTGATGTGATTCCTGTGTTCTGTGACAACATGTTTGTCCCTTGTTCTGGTTTTATGAATACCTCTGGCAACAACCTTTGGTGTGGTAATCTTGTCTAAACAGAGACATGTCCTGTACATGGCACATGACCTTTACATGGCCCTCATTGAACAGATGAAGAAAAAGCAACAGGAAGCTTTTGGTAGGACTGGTTTTAATGTACTGGGTAAAATAGTCCATCTATTCAGGTTTAGAAGGAACAGTGAAGTGAATGTCTGACTGCAAGTTTTTTTGAGCAATGTGAGTCTGTCCTAAGTCTGTCCTCATTAACATACAATGCAAGATCTCCAGCCCCTAAACCTTTAACCTTTTGTTAGGACAGACTGTGTTCAATCCAGGTACAATTGATCAGGAGGATTTGCGTGCACAGTACAGACAGAGTTAATTATGGCAAACACAATTGCCCAGCCCCTCATATGTAAGGAAAACTACAGTACCTAGGATTTTTCCTTGGCAGAGGGTCCAGAATAGAGCATCTAAAAAAGGTAAGTTGCCATTTTTTAAAAATTATTCTATGTGGATAGGGGCATGTATACTGCTCAAAAAATGAAGGGAACACTTTGAAAACACATGAGAGGAAAAATCTCATGCTGGATATCTATAATGATATGGACTAGGTATGTGCTAGGAATGTAAGGATGCCCCATCATTTGATGGAAATTAAAATTATCAACCTAGAGAGGACTAAATTCAAAGACACCCCGAAAATCAAAGAATGATGCAGCAAGCTAGTCCATTTTGCTGAAATTTCATTGCAGCATCTCAAATGGTACTCAGTAATTTGTATGGCCCCCACATGCTTGTATGCATCCCTGACAATGTTGGGGAATGCTCCTAATGAGATGACGGATGGTGTCCTGGAATATTTCCTCCCAGATCTGGACCAGGGCATCACTGAGCTCCCGGACAGTTTGATATGTAACCTGGCGGCTTCGGACGGACCAAAACATGATATCCCAGATGTGTTCTATTGGATTTAGGTCAGGCAAGCGTGGGGGCCATTCAATGGTATCAATTCCTTCATCCTCCAGGGACTGACTGCATACTCTCACCACGTGAGGCCGGGCATTATCGTGCACCAAGAGGAACCCAGGACCCACTGCACCAGCATAGGGTCTGAAACTGGGTCCAAGGATTTCATCCCAATACATAATGGAAGTCAGGGTGCGATTGTCTAGCCTGTAGAGGTCTGTGTGTCCCTCCTTGGATGTACCTCCCCAGACCGTCACTGACCCACCTTAAAAACGGTCATGCTGAACGATGTTACAGACAGCATAACATTCTCCACAGCTTCTCCAGACACTTTCACATCTGTCACATGTGCTCAGGATGAACCTGCTCTCATCTTTGAAAAGCACAGGGCGCCAGTGGTGGACCTGCCAATTCTGGTGTTCAATGGCAAATGTCAATTGAGCTCTGTGGTGCCAGGCAGTGAGCACAGGGCCCACTAGAAGACGTTGGGCCCTTAGGCCACCCTCATGAAATCTGTTTATGATTGTTTGGTCAGAGACTTTCACACCAGTGGCCTGCTGGAGGTCATTTTGTAGGGTTCTGGCAGTGCTCATCCTGTTCCTCCTTGCACAAAGGAGCAAATACTGGTCCTGCTGATGGTTAAGGACCTTGTACGGCCCTGTCCAGCTCTCCTAGAGTAACTGCTTGTCTCCTGGAATCTCCTGCATGCTCTTGAGACTGTGCTGAGAGACACAGCAAACCTTCTGGCAATGGCACGTATTGATGCGCCATCCTGGAGGAGTTGGACTGCCTGTGCAACCTCTGTAGGGTCCAGGTATTGCCTCATGCTACCAGTAGTGACACTGACCCTAGCCAAATGCAAACCTAGTGAAAAAAATTCAGAAAAGATGAATAAGGAAAAACCTGTCAGTGGCCTCCACCTGTAAAACCATTTCTGTTTTGGGGGTCATCTCATTGTTGCCCATCTAGTGCACCTGTTGTTAATTTAATTACCACCAAAGCAGCTGAAACTGACAACCCCCTCTGCTACTTAACTGACCAACATATCCCAGAAGTTTAATTGATTAGATGATATACTCTGATTAAAAAGTGTTCCTTTATTTTTTTGAGTAGTGTATATAAAGTAGCTGTTTTCCCAGTTTTGCAGCAAAAGTGTAAATACACATTAACTGCACAATGTACCAAGCATATGGTTAATGAGACTAATAATAATGAGCAGGAAAATAATCCACAGTGCAGTGGTAAGGATCATGTAGTGTACATCACAGCTTACAGAACACAATGGATATGGGTATGTAATGTGAATCAGAACTTGGAGATGGCAGTCTGAGGTATGTACTGTACAGAGAG